TTGGAGAAGTTTTGGGCTGGGGAGTGGCAGCAGCTGTTTGAGTTGGCGGTGGCGGCGATGCAACCTGCGGCTCGCCCCTTGTCCTTCACCCCACCCGAGCATGATCCTGATGCCGTGCGCCTATCCCGCTGCCGTACAAGGTGCAAAGTGGGAGAATGGAGTCGGGGTTTGGCGTGCCTTACGGCTGGTAGCATCGCTCAGCCCTCTCAGCACATGGTGGACGCGCTACGAGCGAAACACCCATCGTGCGAGTCCGCCATTCCTGGGTGGGTGCAGGAGGAGACAGTCGAGCCTTCCCTTATCCCACAGCTTTCAGTGGAGGTACTCGGCCAGGCGATCCACTCAGCGGCTAGGGCGTCCGCACCAGGACCGTCGGGGTGGGTGACGGAGCACCTGCGCGACACTTTTCTCTCTGAGCCCGCGTATCTGTCCCACCTGCTAGAGGTCTTCACCCAGTGGACCAAGGGAGAGGTAGCGGAGCGCGTGCGACCCTGGCTCACTGCGTCCAACTTGGTGGGCCTGTCGAAGCCGAATGGTGACGTTCGCCCGGTGGCTATAGGCGAGGTGCTCCCCCGCATACTATCTCGGGCCATATGCATCGTGCTTCGCCCGAAGATGATGTCGCACTTTGCTCCGTGTAACCAGTTTGGAGTCGGGTCCAGGTCGGGAGTGGAAGTCCTCGCACATGCCTTTCGCTCCGCCATCTCTACTCACCCGTCGTGGTGTGCGCTGCAAATTGACGTGGCGAACGCTTTCAACTCCTTCCATCGGCGGGAAATGTTTGAGGGTCTTCGACAGTCGCCTTTCAAGGGATTGATTCCATTTCTGCGTGTCTTCTACGGCACTCCTAGCGACCTCTATCTCCGAGCGGGCCCTTTTGTCGAAGCTTTGGCTTCCGAGCGGGGCTCGAGGCAAGGGGATCCATTGGGTCCGTTTCTGTTCGCGTTCACACAGCAGCTGGTTATGGAACCAACCAAAACGGAGTACGCCGACTTACTCTTCCTCAGCTATGCTGACGATACGTATATCCTGGGGCCTAGGGAACGGGTTCTAGCAGCCTATGAGGCCTTGCGGGAACGACTGGACGGGCTGGGTTTGGAGGTGCAGCCGCATAAGTGTAAGCTATGGGAGCGAGGGAGGGACCAGGATGGGGAGGAGAGAAATGAGACTGTCCCGCCCGGCATGCAGCAGACATGGACGGGGCTCACTGTGGTAGGGGTGCCCATTGGGGAGGAGGACTGGGAGGTGGCTAGCCTGCGTCGCCGGCTGACGGAGCTGCATGCACCTGTCCCCTGGCTTCCTCTGCTTGACCACCCACAGATTGCGTCCCATTTGTTGGCGATCGCAGTGTCGGCGCGCCCGATCTACCTCACACGGACGATGCCTCCACGACCTGAGGTTGTGGAGGCTTTTCGGGACTGGGACACGAAGCTGGAAGATTGTTTCGAGGAGCTGTTTCCAGATAGTACCTGGGATCACGATTCGGGGAAGTCCCAGATGGCTCGTTTACAGCTGCACCTTCCTGCCAGACTCGGGGGGTTCGGCATTCGATCTGCGGCTGACCTTAGTCCTCTGTCGTATGCATGTGGCTGGTGCCAAGTCTCAGAATCACTAGGCAAGAATGAATGAAAGGAGAGAGGTTGAACTAGCAGGCAGTTGAGTACAAATAGCAAACCCTAGATTGGGCTGTACTCGCTATAGAGTACCCCACTGCAGGCTAGACAATAATAGCATTCTGACACACCCCCATAGCCAAAGTGGGGTGTAATCAGCAGAGCAAGCAAAGCAGTACAAGCTCAGGGTGGATCACAATGTCACCACACATTCTGAGCACAAGTTCAAGAAGCAATAGTTTAAAGTTCACAGTTATGAGCAAAGCTAGAGGCAGTCACAGAGGGCAAGCGAGGAGGAGGAGGGCTGGCGAGAGGAGAGAAGATGAAAGGCGCCGACTGAAGCTGCAGACACACGGGCAACAGGAGCGGCGCGCACAGTGGCTACCGAGCGCACGAGGGCACCGGACTACGGGAGTATCTGGCTCCGCGGCTACGACGAGCACACGCAGGAGCAACGGACCCACAGGCGACTGGCGAAGCAGGCTCGCTGGGCTACCGAAACGCGCGAGGGCATCCGGACTACTGGCGCTGCTGGCGTCACGACGGCTACCTCCACGCAACCTCCCCCGACCGTCCCACGCCCCTCTCACACACCCCCTGCTGAAACCCTAGCTCCACATCCACGGCACCCCCCTTAAACCCTAAACCTCGGCTCCCACACACCACCCCCCTCAGCGGCAGCTGTAGCAGAGGGAGACGAGGGAGGAGGAGGAGCAGGGGGAGGAACTCACAACCGACACCCCCATAGCCGCCACCCCCACACTCTTCACCCCCAAACCCTAATTTAGGAGAACGGGCTGTAGGAGGGGTGAGGCGCCGGTAGAAGCACGGGGGACAGTGGAGAGGGCAGGAGCAGCGAGGAACGGGCCGCCCACGGGCCTGGTAGAGCCGCCCGAACCGCGCGCAGGCGGCCCGAGCCGCGCGCGGGCCTGGCGCTTCCCGTACGGGCCGCGCGCGTGCCTGGCGCAGCCCGTACGGGCCGCGCGCGGGCCTGGCGCAGCCCGTACGGGCCGCGCGCGGGCCTGGCGCAGCCCGTACGGGCCGCGCGCGGGCCTGGCGCAGCCCGTACGGGCCGCGCGCAGGCCTGGCGCAGCCCGTACGGGCCGCGTGCCGGGTGTACGGGCCGCGCGCAGGCCACGACGGGCGACGGGGGGCGACGCGCGGGTCCCCGTCGCCCGTCGCAGCGCCTCCCGGGGGCGACGTGCCGAGTGACGGGGCAGGAACCCGCCGCGCGCCTCGGGGCACACGGCGGGCAGAGAACCGCCGCGCGCCTCGGGGCGCACGGCGGGCAGAAAACCGCCGCGTGCCTCGGGGCGCACGGCGGGCTGAAAACCCTAGTTTCGACGCCGCGCGCCACGGGGCGCGCGGCGGACAGGGAGTAGCAGTAGCAGTAGCAGTAGCAGCGGAAGGCTTAGGTGGTGGGCCCACCCACAGGATCGACCCAGGAGGGTCGACCTGCTCTGATAGCATCTCAGAATCACTAGGCAAGAATGAATGAAAGGAGAGAGGTTGAACTAGCAGGCAGTTGAGTACAAATAGCAAACCCTAGATTGGGCTGTACTCGCTATAGAGTACCCCACTGCAGGCTAGACAATAATAGCATTCTGACACCAAGCAGTGAGCGATGTGGCTCGGTTGGGGGTGGCAGGTGAGGAGCGGATGTTTGAGGAGTTTTTCCGCACGCCCGAGGCTACGACCTTGTTGGACCCCTGGTTTGCGAGAGCAGTGGATCTGCTTCCACAGTCGGTTCGGCAGGAGATGCCACCCCTTGCCTTGTGCACCGCTGATCCGCCTATGCTGCTCTTCCCCACACAACACCGTCGCCTGGCGGTTGAGAGCCTCCAATCTCTTCGAGGCATGGCCCACAACGATGCCACCCTGGCCCGTTTGACATCCCTTCAGGGCCCGGGGGCTGGGGCGTGGGTTTCTGCCGTTCCTTCGCACGAGGAGGCTACCTTCACCGCAGCCGAGTGGAGCATCTGCGCGTCCATGCGCCTAGGCCTCCCTATTCAGCAGCTGATAGTGGCCGGCAAGTGCGCGTGTGGGTTTGAGTTTGCTGATCCCTCTGACCCGCATCATGCCCTTCGCTGCAAGTATCAGTATGCACCTTCTCGGGTTCACGATGCGGTTAAATTTGTGGTGGCGAAGATAGCTAAGGGTGCGGGTGGGATTGTGACCATGGAAGACGACACGTTGCTCCCAGGGAAGAGGGTTGATGTGGCGGTTCGGAAACTGAGGGAGGGGGAGGAGCACGCGCTGGAGGTTAGTGTGGTAGATCCTATCTCGCTATCCGCGCAGCACCATGGACAGATTGGTCGCAAGGTGGGTTTTGCCGCGAGAGAGAGAGAAAAGCGGAAGACGGCGGACTACAAATCGCTTCTACAGCGGCATGGGGGAGTGCAGTTCACACCACTCATTGCTGAGACATGGGGATGCTTGGGGGGGAGTTTTGGACGGTGGCTTAAGAAGCAGGGTGACGCGCAGATCGAGATAGCAAAGACGAAAGGGGCGGCGCGAGCTACGGGAAAGGGTTTCTCGGCTTATTTGCTCGGATCGCTCAAAGCGGCTGTGGGTGTGGCTTTGCAACGGGCTCAGGCGCGTGTGATCTTGTTACGCGCTGCGTCGATGATGAGAGGCCCAGAGGCTGTTTGGGTGGAGCGGGAGGATGTTGAGGAGGAGATGGGATGGGATGCTCCGTGGGCGGATGCACCATACTTGGTAGACATGCGGGTTTAGGGAGTGGGTTTAGGGGGGGAGGTTTGGTTCGATGGGAGTGCAGTTGGGGTGCTTTGATGGGAGGGCTTGATGGTGTTTTAAATGTGTGTGCTATTGGGGTTTTCTTGGGGTTGTGTGTGCTACTTTTTCTTCCTTCTTCCCTGTTTTTCTTCCTCCTATCATTTTTCCCCTATTCCCCTCCTTCTTTCTTCCTCTCTCCTTTTTTCTACTCACGTTATTCCTCCTTTTCTCCTCTCTTCCCGTTTCCACTCCTTTTCCTTGCGTAATTATGCTACATTGTAACAGATAGTGCCAATTTGCCACTGTATTTCCATCGGAAATCGGTTGGAAATCAGGAGACCCGACTGATTCTTGACGCGACTCGGGTGCAAACCCTCGCTCACACATTTCCGTACGAAATCCAGCGGATTTCTGTTAGAAATCAGTTGTGAATCCGAAAGACCCAAAATTTATCGAATGCCAGCTTGAGTGAACCTCGGAACCTCCAAGGCTGAAACCGGGTTTTTTGTGATGTAGTTTATAACACGACCCAGGCAAGTCTTCACCACGCAAATCCGCCTCGCGTTCGCTTTTGGTGATTTCATACTTGCATCCCAATACATCATTCACCACCACTCGCCCTGTCGTTCAAACATAGCTACTAGGAAAAAAATGAGTGAACTTACTTCATTAACGAGTACGCCTTCCCAGACCGAAGGATCGTACTCCCCTCTCTTCTACCACACGCAGCCAACGAAACGAGCGGAGAATATTTCCGAGCACGCGGAGCACTGGCCGCACGACGGCGACGTCAAGGTCACCGTTTCCGAGCATCTCGTGTCGCACACCACTGACGATGATTTTCCTCGCGGAGATTCGTCCAAATTGAAGCCCGAACCGCAGGCGGAGAGGGCTGAGGCTCGTAAATCCGCGACGCACGTCTCTCAGCAGAGCGTCGATTATCCAACGGCTGGCAGCGACTGGAACGAGTTCGACAAATCGCCCGCAATTTTCAACTTCCAAGAGCGCCCCGTGCGCGACGCGGGGTGGCTGTTGGCGGTGGCTGTGGCACTGCCAGTGGTCATCCTCGTGGGCGCGGCCGCCTTCACCTTCGACTCCTCCATCCGCATCCGCGATGCGCTCGGTTTCCTCCTCTTCTATCCGTTGGTGTTTCTCCTCCTCTTCGCCGTCAGCCTTCCCCTCCCCCTGTTGCTCGTGTCTTACCTCCGCAAAATCTCCGCGCGCACCTTGAAGACTCTCATGGTAGTCGCCGCCGTGATTTTCGTTTTTCAAAGCGTGAGCTCCGCCGTGAGCATCCTCGCGTCGCGGAATGCGGAGGAAGGAACCGAGACATACGGACTGCAGAAGTATGCGCCGTACTTCGGGGGACACACTGGCTTTAACGCACCAGGCAGCGACGGGGCGGACTTTGGGACGGAAGGGGGGATGATGGAATCAGGCATGGAAGGGGGCATGGAAGGGGGCATGGAAGGAGGCGTGGAAGGAGGCATGGAAGGAGGCATGGAAGGAGGCATGGAAGGAGGCATGGAAGGAGGCATGGAAGGAGGCATGGAAGGAGGCATGGAAGGAGGCATGGAAGGAGGCATGGAAGGAGGCAGTATGGAGGCGGCAGCAGAGGCTGACAGCAGCAGCACGTACAACGGCAGCAGCAGCACTGCGGCCTCGAGTGACCTCGGCAGGGGCCTCCTGGGCAGGGGCCTCCTGGGCAGGGACCTCTTCGACCTTGCGCTGCCCATGGTGGCACACCCCGTGATAACCATAACCGCGCGCCACGCCAACCGCTGGGTGCGCGATGTTCATTTCACGGCTGAGAGAAATGCGCGCGGGCGGCTCTTGCAAAGCAACGACGGGCTTTTCTCGCTGCTGCCCCTCGGAAGCTACATCAACATCTTCCAGTTCGTGTTCTCAGCGCTTCTCGGTGCTGCCGCACTGCTCCTTGTTGTGCGCTACAGCCAGCACCTGCCGCTCGCTGCCGCTACCATCGCACACGCCTCCCATGCAGCCATCGCCAGGGCCCCTGTCATACTGTTTATGCCGTTCCTCGTTATGTTTGCTCCGTCATTCGTGGCCCTGCCTTTGACGTTTAGTGTTCACTCTAGTTCCAACCTCGTCCTCTCGGCCCTGCTGCTACTCTCCTGCCTCTTCCTCTCCCAAGTGCTGTCAGCCATACTCACATACTCCACAGCCGCTGTCTATGCACGCCTGTACGTCACGAGCAGCACCAACAACGGCAGTGGCAGCAGCGAGGGCGGGCAGACGGGTGGAGGGGAAGAGCGCATGACGCTGGGAGACCAGCTGCGGCTTTTCTTCTCAGCACTCAGCCTCGCATGCACTTCATCCCTTGGCACCTGTTGTGCTGTTGCCGTCACCACAGGCATTGTGGGCCTTGTTGAGATGACTCTTTCTACCCTCGTCCTGGCTCTCTTTGGCCCAGGCATCATAGGCTGCCTACTTGTGGTGCCGCTTCAGTGCACGAATCTTGCCATCCGCCTTTTCCTTAACTGCCTCCTGCTCCCTACCAGTGCAATGAGCGGCCATGGCTTCACCCGCTCACTGCGCCTCTCGTTAGACATCCTGCAACGCTACACGTTGCCCATTGTGACATCCAATGCTGCTGCTTTCGCCCTCCATTCCATCCTCATGGGTGCAATGGCCTTCATAGGTCTATTATTCGGGCTATTTGTGGTAAGTAGGCTTTGCTGCTGCATGTCCTGCTGCGTGATTCACCACAAAGCCTCCTGCACATAAGCACCTTTGCAGCTTCCATATTTAAAGCCCGTTCTCATGTGGGTTCCCCATCGTCGCTATTCACTTGCAGGTTTTGGCACTTTCCATGCACGGAGCTGGCCTAGAGGGACTATTTATGTCCATTTTTGTCTTCGTGATCGTTGGTTCTGTTTATCTCTTCGCCGCTGTAGAACTCTCATCGGTCCTTACTACAGGGGTGGCTACCACAGTGCTGTGTTTTGCCTGGGACAAGAAGCTAGAGGCAGAAGAGGGATCCGATGTTGTGGGCCTGGTGGGTGCTGGTTCTCCATCCTCTGCTCATGTGAAGGATATTAGTGTGGTGCAGGAGGTGTGAGTTGTGTTTGTCTGTGTGTGTGTGTGTGTGTGTGTGTGGGGGGGGGGGGTGGGGGGGGGGGGGGGGGGGGGGCGTGCGTGCGTGCGTGCGTGTGTGCGTGTGTGTGTGTGTGCGTCTGTAAGCGTGCGTGTCAATTTGTATGTTGTACATTAAAGCTCAAGGCCCAAATTGCGCAAGGTTAGTAATCTTGCGCAAGGGTTTGGGCTGGTCAAGAAAGTGTTGGGAGGGTGGGGTTGACTTTTTTCGCACAAGCTCTCGCAACAATCGCTGAGTCAGCAAACCCCAAGGCAAACATTCTGTTTGGGTCCGAGAGTCCCAAATTGAGAAATACTGAAAGTTGAAGTTTCTGCAGTGAGATTGGCCTCGACCAATCAGATTCATTCGTGCCTTCCGTAACCCAACCTTCGCCAAACCACAGCACCAAAACAGCAGCTGCGCAAGATTACTAATCTTGCCCAGCGCGGCCCGCAATTTGGGCCTTGAGCTTTAACATGCAAAATTCCAGCGTCAGCACCATGAGATATACGGTACACTACGAAAACTGGTTGCACCTGCAGATACGTGGCAGCAAAGCGAAGCATAGGTTGTTTTGATGAGGGACGCGTACAAGTCGGGGCAAATGGTGTTGTCAAGGCTGCTTGAGGGCCTTAACAGTCGTGACTCTTGTGGCAGCAGGAAGGGCGCTGGAGCTTGCAATGCTCGGGGGAGCGAGGGCGAGCCGAGGTGGAATGCAGATACAAATAAACAGGGCATGCAAGGCTGCTAGATAGAAATCCGAACAATGCGCCGCAATAAGCTACAGAGTCTCCACTTTGTTACAAAAGTCTAACGAACGATCAACCACGGTCTTACAACTTCACAACAAATAAAGGTATACATTACGCCTCACCAGGTTCACACTTTCAGCATTGAATAATGTCCCCTTGTCAGATCAGAAGACATCAGAGCCAAACAGGTCCATGACGTCATCGGAAACACCTTCAAGCGCATCAAACGTCAGCAACTCCACAGCCGCCCCTCCACGTGTGGTATCACTGCTCTGCTCTTCCACTCGCCTCTCCGTGCTCCTGCCTCTCTCCACACCACCACCACCAGCACCTCCCAACACTGCAGTTTCCTCCTCCTCGCATTCCTCTTCCTCCTTGCTTGCTCCAGCTGCTTGGCTGTTGTGCTGAGCCCCTGCCTGGCCTGCCAGCCACGTGCCATCAGCACAAGCAAGAGCAAGAGCACCTTGTACAGGGGTCCCAGTGCTGTGTGGGGAAGCAGAGGACTCATGGTACACGAACGTCACCCCGTCACACGCGCCCACCACTTCCCTCAGCGGCCCATCTGCAATGCCTGCTGCCAACCCGCCCCTCCCAGAGATGGTGCTTGCAGCAGGTGCAGCAGTGGTGGTGGCGGCAGCAGCAGCGAGCCATTTGGCGGAGAGAGGGGAGTTGGAGCGCAGCAGCAGGTCCAGCGTGTCACACGCAGTGACCTGCAGCACACAACACAGTCATATGGGAGAGGGACACAAGAAGAGCAATGACGTGCTGTGCTGGCACTCCCCTCATTGCTCTCACTCCCCTCACTCCCCTCACTGCTCTCACTCCCCCCACTCCCCTCACTGCTCTCATTCCCCTCACTCCTCTCACTGCTCTCACTCCTCTGACTCCTCTTACTACCCTCACTTCTCTCACTGCTCACTCCCCTCACTCCCCTCACTGCTCTCCTCTCACGGCTGGAAACACAAAAGGCTTTTTGTGCAAAGGAGCTTGAAGCCCACATCCAAATAACGTGGTTCTCACCTGCTCCAGGGTGAACAGCTCACCTGCTCCAGGGTGAACAGCTCACCTGCTCCAGGGTGAACAGCTCACCTGCTCCAGGGTGAACAGCTCACCTGCTCCAGGGTGAACAGCTCACCTGCTCCAGGGTGAACAGCTCACCTGCTCCAGGATGAACAGCTCGCGCAGCTCTTCCTTGGTGAAGTGCCCCGCGCCACCCTTGCTGCTGCCACTGCCACCGCTAACCCCCCTGGCGCCAGTGCTGTTGCCCGGCAGTGCAGTGCCATCGCCCACAGCGCTGGCCACGTCGCCCTTCATGAGCTGCCGCTGGAAGATCTTCTCCTCGATGCTGCCACCATGCATGCCATACGTGCAACACAGGACCATGCTTTGGCTAGGGCTGATCGCTGAAATCTACGTGTGGTGTTGGGCGCATGCACGGCACAGCGCAGCAACATATGTCTCATTTGCCTCGCCTGCCTCACACACTCCATACCCCACCTGCTTCCACCTCCTTCCTCTCCACCTCGCCTCTCACAAGTCCATGAGACTCATCCACACAGCCTCGCACAATTTCACTCTCCTCATGCTCTCCTCGTCTGCTCTCAACAACCCCTCGCTGCTGCTTGACTCAACCATCAGCGCCCACCACTTGGTACATCCCACGACCGCACGCTAATCTACTGTGACCTGCATCAAATAGATCCCACCTGTCCGCCCCAATGGCCTTGCAAGCGACAAGGACGGCTCCCACCTGCCTCCCACCTGCCCCCCACCTGCCTCCCACCTGCCTCTCACCTGCCTCCCACCTGCCTCTCACCTGCCAGTGGCGAGCATGCGGTAGATCACCACCGCCTTGCTCTGCCCGTCCCTCCACACGCGCGCCATCGCCTGCACAGATTGGGGGGGTGGAGGGGCATGGCTATACGTCAGCTTGCGTATGTGTGAGTGCGGGTGTGTGTGCGCGAGCACGTGCACAGACGTGCCATCTGCAATTCAAAATAAAACAAGCCACCATGACCCACCAATGCCTTCACTATGATGTGGGTTCTCCCGTAGAGGTTAAGCCCCAGCCAGTCACAACCCACTTCCTCACACACCACCCGCCAACACTACACCCTCACACAACCACCCCCACACCTACCAGGGCCCCTGCCAGGTCCTGAGTCATCCAATGCACACCCCTTTCTCCCCCCCCCCCCCTGAGCGCACTTGGTGGTCGGTGGCGGGGTTAGTCAACCAATGTTCACCCCTTCACCCCCCCTGTGAGCACACCTGGTGGTCGGTGGCGGGGTTCCAGTCACCTCAATCCTCCCGTCCCCCTCTCATTCCCCCCTGTGGGAGCGCACCTGCTGGTCATTGGCGGGGTTCCAGTCGTTGAGCGCGCACCTGCCGTTGCCTCCCCTCAGTTCCCACGTTCCCGTCCCACCCTTCCCCCCCATCCCCCCCCGTTTTGAGCGCATCTGGTCGGTGGCGGGGTTAGTCGTTGAGAGAGCACCTCCCCGTCTCATTCTCTCTCGCTTTGACCCCACACCTGGTGGTCGGTGGCGGGGTTCCAGTCACCTCCCCCTCTCATTCCCCTCTGTGAGAGCGCACCTGGTGGTCGGTGGCGGGGTTCCAGTCACCTGGTGGTCGGTGGCGGGGTTCCAGTCGGGGTCGAAGAGCACGAGGCGGTTGGCGCCCACGAGGTTGAGCCCGGCGCCGCCTGCCTTGGACGACAGCAGGAAGCAGCAGCTGCCGTCGCGCCCCGCGTTGAACGCACTCACCACCGCCTGCCGTGTCGCTGCCTCCGTGCTGCCGTCCAGCCGCGTGCTCCTCCACCCGTGCCATGAACACATCGCCTGGTGCGGTACGGGCGTGGGGGATGGGGCGTGGGTGGGGGGCAGGGGCGTCAGATGGTGCAGTATGGCAGAGGCGTGGGTGAGCAGGGGTATGAGATGGTGCGAGGGATAAGACAAGTATACGCGCACGCAGCACATGCATGCAGGGCGGGTGGTGCGGGTGAGTGTGTGGTGCCTCTCAACAAGAAGCCCTGCATGGCAAGGCTTGCTGCCCATGGCCTGTGCTGCACTGCTCCCTAGCACGTGCCTCCCCTCTCCCACCAGGGCGCATGACCTTGACATCACATGCAGTCACCGGCGTTGAATGCGGAACACGGAAGCGGGGCGAATTAGAGGGAGGTGCAAAAGCAGGACAAGCAGAATGGGGGCGTGCGATGAATTTCTGTTGAGCACCTCACCTCGATCACATCAAGTGCCCGTGTGAAGTTTGACACGATTACCACCTTATCGCCACTGCCACCCCCGCCACCCCCGCCACCACCACCAGCACCAGCAGCAGCACTGAAATGAGCACGAGTGGCACTGCTGCCATCCGTGATGCTAGACAGCGCACTGCCCTCGCCCCCACCCGCCAAGGTGCTGCTGTTGCTGTTGCTGTTGCTGTTGCTGTTGCTGTTGCTGTTGCTGTCCCCCCCCAGGATGGCGTGCAGCAGCAGCGCGAGCACGTGCAGCTTGCCGCTGAGCCGCCATGCATCAGCGCCCAGCGCCTTGAGCGCCGCTGCCAACGCCGCTGCTGCTGCTGTGCGCGACAGGGGCGCGCCCTGGGCGGATGGGGACGCCTGGGGGAGCATGGATGGGGGCCTGGGGGGTGAAAGGGGGGGGGGGAGCGGAAGGAAGAGGGCAAGAGGAAGACGGAATCAGCATGCTTTAATGCCCTGAAACAGAGAACAAGTGCCGTTGAAACAGAAAGGGCTGCGCTCGGCTTGAGATGGGCCTGATTAAGGATGTCTCACCTGAAACCATAGCGCTTCTGCTCTGCCTCGTTCACTTCTGACACCCCTCCCTCACATCCCTCCACCTCCCCGCCCTCTGCCGGCCACTCTACATTCCCCTGCTCCTCCTCTTCCACCTCGTCTTGCTCCTCATCCCCTGCCCATTCCTCCTCATCTCCCCCTTCCTCCCCCGCAGCAGCGCAGCCAGCAGAGGCGGAGGCAGCAGGGGAGGGGGAGCGCGGGGGGGGGAAGGAGGGCGTGGGGGGGGCAGCGAGGGCGGGGTGCAGGCAGAGCTTGCGGAGGTGGCAGATGGCCGTGAGCGCACTGGCTGTGCTGCCGCGCGCCGTGGCATAGAGCAGCGACCGCACGTGCTGCCACGCACAGGAGGGGGGGGGGGGGGAGGGACACAGGGTGGAAGGGGACAGGTGGGGAATGGGACACAGGGGAGAGGGGACACGGTGGGGAGGGGACACGGGGGGGAGGGGACACGGGGGGGAGGGGACACGGGGGGGAGGGGACACGGGGGGGAGGGGGCATTGGGGGGAGGGGACACCGGGGGGGAGGGGACACGGGGGGGAGGGGACACGGGGGGGAGGGGACATCGGGGGGAGGGGACACGGGGGGAAGGGGACACAGGGGGGAGGGGACACACGGGGGGGAGGGGACACGGGGGGGAGGGGACACGAGGGGGAGGGGACACGGGGATAAGACGGGATGTGGTCGCGGGGCCAAGATGGGGCGGAGCCTCGGAGGCAGAGAGCGCATGTGGTGGGAGGGATAGCTGTGGACGGGGGGGAGGGCGCATGTGGTGTGGGGAGGAGGGGGGGGAGGGCAAGAGTGGGGAATAGAGGGCAAGGGAGTTAGGCGAGGGGCAGGGCAAGGTTCTATCTACGGGGCATGTACACACGGAGCACGACAAAAGGCAATATGGGCTTTACAAGGAGAAGGGGCGTCATGCCACACGAGTTGGAAGGACAGCCAGAGCTATTGAGAGCGAGTGCGGCAAGCAGCGGGTGAGGAGGGGAGGGGCGAGGCACGTACGGTGGAGCGCAGAAAGTCGGAGTACTGGCGTGCCTGCTGGGCGTGCAGACGACAAAACACTATGTACCTGCGCATGCATGGACACGTGGGAGTACGGGACAGAGAGGGGAGGAAAAGGACGAAGGCGAGATGAAGGGATATTGAGACGAATAAGCAGGGAAAGTACGAGAATCAGTGCTGCAGAATGGAGCAGTCTTAGAGAGGACAGGCAACGAAACAGGGATGGAAAAGGTACGAGTGCTGACTCTGATTTGGGAGGCAGGTAGGCGGCATTGACTGCAGCAGTGCGGCGCAGCACAAAGGCCGCTGCCTTGGCCTGCAGCTCCTGTGACCTCGCCTCCCCCACCCGCACCTCCTCCTCCCTGCTCGTGTGCGTGCGCGGAAGGAGAGATGGATGGGAGAAAAGAGAGAGAGAGAGATGGTGCGGCATGCAAGGACCATTTGCCCCTGTGAGCAAAGGGCAGCCGCACCAACTGATACAGCCCCCGTTCGACCACTAGGGTCGGACAAAGGGGCGGCGGGGGGAGGTAGTGTAGGTAGGAAGCTGGTATGTTTGTCTTGCATATGTTTGCACCTACCTTGTAATGTCGTACAATGAGTACAAGGACCGTTCGAGGGATGGAGGGGGAGGGAGGAAAGAGAGCGAGAAAAAGAGTTTAGACAGAGAGGGAAAGAGAAACGAAGAGAGAGGAAGTGGCAATGCGAGGCTATGTGTGTGTAATTTTAATCTGCAAGTGGCGCGTGTGGGGGCACTGACGTGGCGCTGCGGTCGCGGCTGCGCTGGATGGGGTCGGCGAAGATGCGGCGGAAGGCAGGCAGCGGGCCCAGGCAGCCGGGGTTGACCAGATCCAGCAGCGCAAAGAACTCACTCAGATCGTTCTGCATCGGCGTGCCCGTCTGGTGGGGGCGGGGGGGAGGGAAAGTGAATGAAAGGGGAAAAGGTGGGGGGGGGAGAGGGGCAGGGAGCGATGGACAGGGAGGATGGCGGGCGTGGTGTAGCAGGGGTAGCAGGGCGGTGAGGTGGCTCTGAGTGAGTGTGCTGATGTGCATGAGGGTGGAGTGCAAGTGAAGCATCTGAGGCGGTTCTTCACGATTGCTGATTCATGCACTGCAAGGTCAGTCGGGCAGGGGGCAAGGAAGAGGACAGGGAGCGACATAGGCAACACATGTAGGAAGAGGGCAGGGGTCTGGGTTGCATGGGGCGTAACGTTGTGAGATGCTGTTGTGCAGGGTTGGCAGAATACGGGGACTTGAACGCGCACACAGCTGACCAGAATGCAATGGTGCTATGCAGCTGACGCAACGTTCGTTGCAGCATATGTGTGGGTAGACAGAGGACTCACCAGCAGCACCTTGCGAGGGCACCCCAGCTGGTGCAGGGCTGAGATGGTCTTGTTGCCCGCACTGCATGGGGGGGCAGCACAGGGATCAACAGGTACATGGTTGCAACGAGGACAAGCTTCCACCCGCATGAAAAACAGTGACGAGATTAATGGAACCGACGAAAATAACAAAGGCAGTTAATGTGCGACAGCCACAGCTGTCCACCACCCGAGGGGTGGGAGGCCACGGTCAATCCCGACCGTCGAGGGCAAGGATCCGTCGGTGCCGCAGGAGCGCCAGAGAAATTCATGGCTGCTAGGAGCAACTACCCGTTCTCCTGGCCGGCTACTGCGCTACTCCTGTCACCACGGCATCCTTCCCTGTCCCCCCCCCGAGGGGTAATACACTCTAAAAAACGGGGAACCTAGGAACTTAGGCTCTGATACCAAGTGTTATGAGTTGTACTAAGAAGAGTGCGCGGAAGACTTTATAAAAAGGATGAGAATTACAAAATCACGAGAATGATAAAGAAGCGAGCATTTATAGGGTCTAAAGTGGCGTGAGCAGTCCCCCCAGCCCAGGGTGCCATGGCACAACCGCACAGCTGCACCCCCCATGCATGCACCAACCCCCCCATGCACGCACCAACCCCCCCATGCACGCACCAACCCCCCCATGCACGCACCAACCCCCCCATGCACGCACCAACCCCCCCATGCACGCACCAACCCCCCCATGCACGCACCAACCCCCCCATGCACGCACCAACCCCCCCATGCACGCACCAACCCCCCCATGCACGCACCAACCCCCCCATGCAGGCACCAACCCCCCCATGCACGCACCAACCCCCCCATGCACGCACCAACCCCCCCATGCACGCACCAACCCCCCCATGCAGGCACCAACTCCCCCATGCACGCACCAACCCCCCCATGCTCGCACCAACCCACCCATGCACGCACCAACCCCCCCATGCACGTACCAACCCCCCCATGCACGCACCAACCCCCCCATGCACGCACCAACCCCCCCATGCACGCACCAACCCCCCCATGCACGCACCAACCCCCCCATGCACGCACCAACCCCCCCATGCACGCACCAACCCCCCCATGCACGCACCAACCCCCCCATGCACGCACCAACCCCCCCATGCACGCACCAACCCCCCCATGCACGCACCAACCCCCCCATGCACGCACCAACCCCCCCATGCAGGCACCAACCCCCCCATGCACGCACCAACCCCCCCATGCACGCACCAACCCCCCCATGCACGCACCAACCCCCCCATGCAGGCACCAACTCCCCCATGCACGCACCAACCCCCCCATGCACGCACCAACCCCCCCATGCACGCACCAACCCCCCATGCTCGCACCAACCCACCCATGCACGCACCAACCCCCCATGCACGTACCAACCCCCCCATGCACGCACCAACCCCCCCATGCACGCACCAACCCCCCCATGCACGCACCAACCCCCCCATGCACGCACGACCCTCCATGCGCCACCCCTCCTGCACCACCCCCCCACGCAGCACCCCCCAACACGGCAGGCATGGCGCGCTGACCAGTTCTTGAGGCGGTGGCCCTCGTCGCAGACGAGGAGCTGCGGCGCGGCGGCAGCGAGGATGGGCGCATGGCGGCGCAGCAGATCGTAGGACGTGATGAGCACCGCCCACACCACCGCGTGCTTGAAATCCAACATCTTGCCCCTCACCTGCTCACATGCACATGCCATGCTCGCATGCACACACACACAGGCACAGACGCATGCATGCACACACACACACACGCACACACACACACACATGCACATACACACACGTACACACACACACGCACGCACGCACACATTCACAGACGCATGTACAGATGGAGACACACACACACACCCCAAGTGGTCACGTCCCATCCATCCTTACATATGTATCCTTGCCATGTATTTGCTTTCCCTCCATCTGCTTGTCACTGCCTGTCCTGCACCACACACACCACGCCGTGCCATGCGCGTGCACGAGCAGCACGCATGGCGTCTCATGCTCACACCAGAAGCTGAGGCGCTCACCCCCACTCTCTCACCCTTCCATCCCCGCACCAGCAACTCCCCACCTCTTACTTTGCTGCATCATTACCCTTACCCTTGCTCACAACTCCCCTCTCCCACCACACGCACAGGAGCTCATGAGAGCGGATCAGTGCCGCACATACACGCACGCGTGACCCCCCCTCCTCCTCCTCCCACTCTCCCTTCCCCCCCCCCCCCTCTGTGCACACCTCGGTGGGAGTGTAGCTGGAGTTCACGACCATCGCCTTGAGCCGCTCCGTGCCCAGCCACTTGCGGAACTGTTGCGCGCAGGGGGAGAGGGTGGAAAGGAGGGGGGGAGGGGAGGTTAAGATGTGGTGTGTGTGGGAGAGAAACGGAGAATGTGGACAGCCGACGTGTTGGGCAGCCGGGTGTGATGGAGGGTGGGAGCATGAAAGATTGGAGGGCAATAAGCTAAGTGCAGAGACAGCGGCATTTCATGTGGCACGACCCGAGTGCCCCACCCTCACACAGTACCTCGGCCCCCCAGTTGTCAACGAGCGAGGACGGGCACACCACCACTGCCTTGCGCAGGAAGGGACGACCCTGGGGGCCCTGCAGGGGGACGGAAGGGAAGGGACGCCGGGAAACGGACAGGGGAGGAGAGGGATGGGAATGACTTGCATCACAGTGGTCCAGCAAAAAGGGCAGCAGAGAGAAAGAGTCAGCGAGGAAGAGGCGGGGTGCAGAACAGGCAGAATGCGGTGAGGAGAGAAAAGAACACGTGCCTGTTTGAGAAGAGTCCAGATTAGCGCTATCACTTGAAGGGTCTTGCCAAGGCCTGTGCGGGAGAGGTAGGGGAGACGCACGTTACACGTGGGGGACCCCACAGGTGGTGCTTCTTGAAGGCCAAGGGAAACAAAACAGCAACAGCAGGTGCTTGAGAAAGCAGAAATCACCGAAGGTAGATAGTGCGGCAACCTGCTTGCCAATCTAAATTCTTACAGGAATTCCTCAACCGCCTTCTCTCCCGCCCGTCCATTATCTTAGCCTGACTTCTCTGCCCCTAAACACCTACTCCCTCTGCCACCTCGCCGTTTTCAACTGCCAGCCTTTCATCTCCCAGCTCTCTCTTCTCAGCCAGCTCAGTCGTTTCATCTGCCAGCTCATCCATTTCAACTGCCAGCTCACCCATTTCATATGCCAGCTCACCCATTTATCTGCCAGCTCAACCATTTCACCAGCCAGCTCACCCATTTCATCTGCCAGCTCATCCATTTCAACTGCCAGCTCACCCATTTCATATGCCAGCTCACCCATTTCATCTGCCAACTCACCCATTTCATCTGCCAACTCACCCATTTCATCTGCCAGCTCACCCATTTCATCTGCCAGCTCACCCATTTCATCTGCGAGCACGCATCCGGAGCAGCCGGGCGTGCGCACCTCCAGCACGGCCTCGAGCATGAAGCGCACCCCCTCCACCTGGTGAGGGCGCATCCTTGCTCCGATGTACTGCCAGCCACGCGAGGGGGGAAGGGGGGGAAGAGAGAGGTGCGCCTGAGTACTGCCAGACAAGGTGGGCTCACTTCCTCGCCCCGGTGTACTGCCAGCCACCCACAGAGGGCGGGGGGGGAAGGGGGGGAGGGGAAGGGGAAGAGGGGGGGAAGAAAAGAGAGAGTGGTTGCAACTCAGCGCAACCCCCACAGGAAGGTGGAACACAAGGGCTCCTGGTGAGATGCGTACGAGAATGTGATATGAATAGCAGGAGACTAGCTGACTGCAGTCGTTTCTGAACCCCTACGCACGGCACAGTGCACAGCAGCACAGTGAGGTGGAAGGCCATGGCATGAACGTCGATACACCCATGACCCATGGGCAGCACGAGCCTACAGGGCGGAGAAGGGCGTACAGAGTCAAGGTAGATCTTGGAGATTCCCTTGCCGTGCTGGTTGGGGTTGAGACACACCGCATCCTGTAGCCACCACATCACACGACAGGACACGTGCAGGACGGCTGCATGTGAGAGAGAACCGCAAGGATAAGTTCTGCATTGCAAGAACAGGAGTTACAAGTAACTCATGGTGCCATGACAGGTTTCTTTGCCACGTCATACATCACTGCCCAATGCCACCCGAATACTGTTTTGTCCCGCCATGCCTTTCACCCCACTCCACGGCCATACCTCGTTGCCAAGCCTCATGCGACTCTCCATGCTCGCAGCTCTCCTGTGGAGGCGGCACGAGGGCAGAAAGAGAAGAGACATCAGCGCACACAAGTTTCAACGGCCTGGCCTCTGCAGCAGCCCATCGACTTGCACGCGCGTGCAGGGGTGGAAGTGGGAAGGCGGACGGGTGGTGGCGAGTATCTGACGCCTGGCAGAGGCGTGTGCTGCACACCCTGACACCGAAATGCGAGTGAAGCAACTCGTCAACATCTAGAAGGATAAATCTCACACGCAGCATCAAAGTCTCACACCCCTCACGTTCCCTGCCTCGCTGGTGCGCGTGCGTGCACCAATGGCCCCAATGGCCCCTCACGCACTCACTTGTTCGCCAGCACCCCTTCCGCACTGCTGCCAGCCGCCCTGCCACTGCTGCTCTCACCCGCCCGCTTCCTGCCCCTGCCAGCAGCAGCACTGCCCACTCGACCCGTGGCAGCAGCGGGGGCCACAGCGGCAGCAGAGGCGGCAGCGGCGGGGATGAAGAAGGAGCCGGCGAGGTACTGCTCGCGCGGCACCTCGTGCATCACCTCCACCTCCCACTTGCCCACCTGATGGGGGGCCAGGGGGAACGGGGGGGGGAGGAGAGGGGGGGATTGGAGGGAGGCGAGAGAGGGCGAGAGGCAGCAGGAAGGCACGGACGCGACGAAGATCAAATGCGCGGAGAGGAGATACAAGTGGAGGCGGCATGGCGTGCATGGGGACAAACAGGGTATGCGATCCTTGGCGATGGGTCGCGGTACCGTGTAGATCGACATGGCTCCAGGCACCTGCACTGTGAACGGGCGCGGCTGCTACTCAATCAAGTGAGAGAACCGCTACGCGTGTCATGTGCCTTGCATGGCACTTGCAAGACCTCGGAAAACAGCACACAACTCCAAATTTGACGCCTGAGAAACAGCTGACAACACCAGCTTACAGCAATCCCCCATCTCACCAACATCGCCGCAGACATCCCTACTCTCTCAGCACCACGCGCCCTGCTAGACACCAGATCGGCGGGTGCGTGCATGCATGCGTGCTTGCGTGCGTGCTTGCGTGCGTGCTTGCGTGCGGGCGGGCGGGCGTGCTTGCGTGCATGCGGGCGGCGTGCGCGAGTACCTCTAGCGTGGAGCCCTCTTTCAGGTGCGCGCAGCCGCTGACGAGCGCCTTGGCGACGGGCTTGGCGTCCATGTTCTGCACGGCGCACGCGCGCCCCTTCACGCTCAGCAGCCCGTCCGACCACGGCCCCTTGCGCTTCGCGTGCGGCTTGCGCGGGCAGTACATCACGCTGTAGTACCGCGTCTCGTCCGCCGCCGCCGAAGCCTCCGCCGCTGCCGCACCTTGCGCGCCGTTCGCGTTACACGTCACTGCAGCGGCCGCCTTGGGCGCATTGAATCGCGCGCGGGCATTCGCAGTGGAGCCGGGAGCGGGGTGCAGCGGCGGCTGTCGCGACGGCACGGGAGCGGCGGTGTTGAGGGGGTGCAGTGACTTGAAGGGCTTCCGCTTCAAGGGAGGAGCCGCGCGGCTTTGCATCTCCGATCCCGCGGCATCGTCGTCGCTTCCCATGGCGATACCACGGCTTGAATGCAACCGACCTGCTCTGATCAAAACACGAGAAGCGCCGTGAGAGGCTTCCCACTGGCCGCTGACGCTTGGCACGGGGAACGCGATCGGTGCTCGTGGCAAGGAGTGGCGGGAATGCGGGCTGGACTACGCTGCTGGAATCACAACTTGGAGTGACGTGCTGCCTGCCTGGTGGGCGACCTCGAGAGTGCCAACGCTGCCCCGCACTCCCAGCCAGGGAGCAGACAAGGCACCCTTCGCGGCCAATTCCTAAGCTCCTCGGGAACTGCATGTCGAACATTTCAAAAAGCCAAATGCTCCGTGGCGCCTTGCGAACAGCCTTGATAAGCTCTAGGGATCTAGAATCCGAACAAATGGCGGGAAAGGCACAGCGCAAGTCGTTCTCCTGACGCTTGAACCCAGAAAACACCATCCTCGAGTTGTGTATCACCGTCAAACATAAAGCAAAATCTCTTTTTGGGTTGCTCACTTTAAGGAATAATTTAAGATTCCTTTTAAAAACAAATAGAACCAAATTGCAGATAGATGAATATTTCATTTAGTACACAGAATTCCGCGCACCACCACAGCATGAATAAGCATTATCAGGTATTGGACCAAACAAAGGCGGACTCGGTTTTCCGTGAGCTAGAGGAATTGGACCAAACAAAGGCGGACTCGGTTTTCCGTGAGCTAGATTCCTCTAGTATGCCGCCATCAATTCAAAGTACCGTACGAAGGGCTGCGCGAGGGGCGCGCGACAGCGTGGGGCAGCGTGCGGCGCGTGAGGCAGCGCGGAGCAGTGCGCGCACGCAACTGCGGGGCAGCGCGCATGGGAACGGGGGGACGAACGCGATAGCGCAATGCTCGCGAAGGGCAGCGAGCGAGTGACGGAACGCGTATAGGGCAATATCGGGCACCAGGTACGGCACTAGAACCTAATCTAGCCTCAGCTACCATCTTAAGAACATAAGCAACAGAAGTGACTGTCAGAATCCCAGTCACTAACCACTGGGATAAAAGGGCTTGTTTGTGTAGCGGATGAGTGCGCCCATAACCCCCCAGGCCAACGTGCCTGTAACCCTTCCCTAGGATCATCGGGGATCACCAGTGGACCTCTGACACCCCCCCGCACTGGGATGCCCGAGGTGCACACACCGGGATTCGAACCCGAGACCTTCGCTCTGATACCATGTCAGAATCCCAGTCACTAACCACTTGGATAAAAGGGCTTGTTTGTGTAGCGGGTGAGTGCGCCCATAACCCCCTAGGCCAACGTGCCTGTAACCCTTCCCTAGGATCATCGGGGATCACCAGTGGACCTCTGACAGTGACTAGAATAAGAGGTACAAGGAAACATGTACGAAACCCTAAAGGGGTTGTACCTATACAGACTACTCGACTACAGCCTACCCGACTAAAGCCTCCAACAACTAGTGTAAGTGATTTGGCATACCCCATAGGCGAAATGGTTGATAGCACAAACTACAAGTGGTCACAAGACGAGTCAAGAGAAGAAACAAAACAAAGCTTATGGTGAATCTCAAAATCACCACAGATTCAGAGCACAAGCAGACTGTGAGGATTGAGGATCAAGTTCAAAAATGTAGAAAGGATTTTTTTTATTCACCTGGGTACAACACGAGGCTATATATAGTATCGACACAAGGCATTAGCCCAGTGGTCACGCAAATGTTTTGAGGGTCGCGAAGCGTCTGGAACAAACCCTCTCGAATTTGGTAGAAGGCAATTCGGTGGCAACTGAAAAGCCTAAATTCGATGCATGTATTCTGCTTCGGTGGTATAAATATAATAAAATATGGGAAGCACCTAACCTAGGAGATAAAAAAAAAAAGCTAAGCTAGTAATAGCGTAATTAAGGCAAGACAAGCTAGCCATGCAAGCATAAGCCGTCGTACTCTCACACGTCCCCCCCTCAAAGCTAGGCGTCGTGAGATACACTTTGCTTCCCAAGATAGACATTGAGAGTGTTGCGTACGTTGCCTATATCAGCTTCTGCATCTGTTGTTAGTGCGGTCGTAATCCTTCCAGCGTATCAAGAACTCGAGGGTCTTGTTGCCGCGGCGCCGATGAGTGAGAACGCGTTCCACCTTGTACCCTGGTTCATCCTGTACGAGAGCAGATGTTGGTGGCGGTAGCTGCCGTTCCTCGAACTATTGGTTGGGGTCCTTGTAGGGCTTCAGTAGCTGAACATGGAAACACTGTGGAGCTTCCACGTAGGAGATAAGCGCAAGTGAAATGTTACTGGTGTTATCTAAAACAGTAAAATTTTAGACCCACAGTACACATATTCATCAACTATCAATCTGTTATCTAGGGTGTAAGGCTTAATTTGGGGGCGAGGGGAGGGGGAGGGTGTCAAACATATATACTGCATATTGTCTAGGCTGTAGTGGGGTAGCCCATATGGGGTACAACCCAATTAGGGTTTACTACTTGTACTCCTGCATGCTGCTAGTTCATCCATTCCTCTCACTAGTTTCTAACATGGTTTCAGAGCAGTAGGTCCGTAGGACCGGTTTTTTTTTTTTTTTTTTTTTTTTTTTTTTTTTTTTTGTCCGGGCCCACCATTACTTAATGTTCGACTGCGGTTACCGGGTTACCCTACGCCCTGCCTTGCCTGACTTGCCTGCCTTGCCTGCGCTGCGCCTCACGCGCGCGCCCTGCCTTGCCTTGTGACGTGCTGCGCTGCGCGCGCCGTCGTGCAACCCTCGAGCTGCCTGCTGCTGCCTTGCCTGCCTTCTGCTCCCCCCCGCGCACTGCCCGAGCTACGAACGCGCCACCCCTGCCGGCCCCGTCACGCTCGTAGATCGTCCCTGCAGGCCCCGTCAGGCCCGCGCATCGCCCCGGCAGGCCCCGTCAGGCCCGTGCGTTGCCCCTATAGGCCCTGTCAGGCCCGCGCGCCGCCCCTGCAGGCCCGTCAGGCCCGTGCGTCGCCCCTGCAGGCCCCGTCAGGCCCGTGCGTCGCCCCTGCAGGCCCCGTCAGGCCCGCACGCCGCCCCTGCAGGCCCCGTCAGGCCCGCGCGCCGCCCCTGCAGGCCCCGTCAGGCCCATGCATCGCCCCTGCAGGCCCCGTCAGGCCCTCGCGTCGCCCCTGCAGGCCCCGTCAGACCAGCGCGCGGCCCCAGCAGGCCCGTCAGGCCAGCGCGCCGCCCCTGCAGGACCCCGCCGCCTGCACGCAGCCTCTGCCCGACCGCGCGTGTCGCGCTACAGCCCCGCGCGTCGTGTACGCTGCCCGCGCGTCGCGCTGCAGCCCCGCGCGTCGCGGCTGCTGTCCTCGCGCAGCCCGCGGCGGCTTCGCGTGCCGCGCCCGCAGCTCCCGTTTCGCGCTGCAGCCCCGCGCGCCGCGGCTGCCCCTGTTCGTCGCGGCGCCACCCCCCCTGGACGTCGCCCCCGCCTGTCCCAGTCGCGGCCCCGCCCTGCAGCAGCTGTCGAGGAGCCTACTACCGCCGTCGAGGCCCCGCCCTGCAGCAGCTGTCGCGGACCTGCCCTACCGCCGACGCGGCCGTGCTCTGCCGCAGCTGTCGCGGCCCCGCCGTCGCCGCCCCGCCGTCGCCGCCGTCGTGCACCTACCCGGCCGCCACCCGCCGAGCGCCGGCCCTGACCGCCACTGGTCAGCACCTGCCTTGTTCACGCACTGTCGCGCCGCCTGCCTGCCTGCCAGGCCTGCCTGCCTGCCTGCCTGCCTGCCTGTCTGCCTGCCTGCCTGCCTGCCTGTCAGCGCTGCTACTGCTGCTCCTTCTGTTACTACTGCTAGGCTGCTGCTGCTGCTGCTACTGGCAGGTGGCCAGATGCAGCTCCAGCGACGTTCACGCGAGTCTCTCACGCCCCAGCAGCTTAGTGAGTGGTACGCTAGTTGGGGTTGTCGCGGTAGCCGTCGTAGCTGTCGCCCTGGAGCTGGTCAGTTGGGAGCGTCTGGCAGTGGCCAGCTGCAGCTACAGCGGCGTCCACGCGAGACACTTACGTCTCAGCAGCTTCACGAGTGGTACGCTCAGAGTAGAGGGTCTTTGAGTACAGTTCGCTGCCAGTACGTCATTCGCACAGGTGATCGGGTTGGTCAGCCTTGCGGGACGCTTGGTCACACACAGTCCCGCTGCTTTGCCCGTCTGAGCGACGCCTGGCGTACAGTGTTTGGCGACGAGGCTGAGCTCCCCACCTGGCTGGAGCTACTTGGACAGAGGGTAGATATCTTTGCTCTTGACTATGATGCTATTCTTATTGCCACGTATGCATTGCCTACAAGTGCTGACAGTGCCTGTTACCTGTGCAAACCGCCTGACCCTGGTATAGAGCTTGCTGCTCTCGGTGCTGGTGAGGCTGCTGCTCTAGGTGCTAGTGCGTCTCCTGCTCTAGGTGCTGGTGAGGCTGCTGCTCTAGGTGCTAGTGCGTCTCCTGCTCTAGGTGCTACTGAGTCTGCTCTCTCTGGTACTGCGTGTGCTCCGGCGTTGCACACTTTCCACACTTGACTAAGGTGCTTCCCGCTGATTCTTTCGCGACAGTACCACAGTCACTCCCCTCCCCGCGCCTGTCCCTGTCTTACTGGCTGACCCCTCTGGGGGCCCAGTGCTTGCACGGTCCACTACTGTGCTTCCCTGTCCGGCGGTCCCGTCCGGTGAGCTGTCAGGTCTCCACCTCCCCTCGTTCTCTACGAACCTGGTGAGCACCGCCGTCCTTCAGGATCACTGGGTTGACACCTTTACTCCTGGAGGACAGCAGGTGACACACTGCACGTGCTCCCGGACCGGCCGCCACCTGGCCACGTTCACACGTGCGCCTGGGTCCAGTCTGTACACCCTCACCGCTGTGTCGCGTCACGCCCCTTTGTCTCCTCAGCTGCACGTGTCTGCTCAGGTAGCTACCCAGTGCAAGTGCCGCAGCCTGTCGCACGACACTCTCCTGTGGCACCACCGCCTTGGTCACCCCTCCTTGCCTCGCCTGCGTAGCATGCACTCTCGCTCCCTGGTCTCTGGTCTTCCCAGGTCTCTGCCTGCCCTCCCTCCCTCGCCTGCGCCGCCCTGCATTCCTTGCGTCGAGGGGCGGCAGCGCGCCGCTCCTCACTCCTCGTTTCCTCCCATAGAGGCTCCACTGCAGACGCTCCACCTGGACGTGTGGGGCCCAGCCCGCGTCCAGGGACAGGGCCACGAGCGGTACTTCCTGCTGGTTGTCGATGACTACACGCGTTACACCACGGTCTTCCCCTTGCGGAGCAAGGCGGATGTCCCTGCTGTTTTGATCCCTTGGATCCGCGCTGTTCGTCTCCAGCTCCGCGAGCGGTTCCGGTCGGACTTTCCTGTCCTACGTCTGCACTCTGACAGAGGTGGTGAGTTCTCCTCCGACCTCTTGGCTTCCTACTGTGCGGAGCGCGGCATCCGCCAGACGTTCACGCTTCCGGCCTCTCCGCAGCAGAATGGG